AAACTGTATCTCATCTGTTATTTTCACTAATGATTCTCTGTATGGATTTTTTAGATTTGACCAATCTTGTAACCACCATAAGAAAAATAGGAAATAAATGTAAATTACGCCTCTTTCATTCTTGAATGACAACAAATTATAACACAAAAATATAAATGTTTAGACTAAATAGCTTAAATCTCTTAACATTATACATTTATATATATTTTATTTTTATTATATTACCTGTCAGCTGTGCTTGGCTAACAATATGGAAGTTACAATGATGTGGCACAGGTTTGCTTTTATTACTATATCCAATAATATAAAACTGACCTTTAGTCTTTACGAAGTGATCTGTCTTGGCTGTGTTTTAGTTGACTAGTATTTTGCAAAATACACTCGCATGTCAATTATTTTACATTATACATATATATAGATTATTACTCTTTAGAAATAAGTTCTTAAACTTATTTTTCTTAAACATGAAACAGTAAATAAAGAAGTAAAGCAAATAATTGTCTCTTTCAGTTTTGACCTTTGTACTCAATTGCTGCTTGACGTAGGTTGCTAAGCCTTTAAAAATTTTGCATATGGAGGATATGAAACAGAATAATTTATTCAGGTTCCATATATACAGTTGAATAACCAAAAAATCATAAATTACTATATCGATACCATAGAATTCCACTATAATTTATCAAGCTTAGTAACTAAGCTGTATTTGGGTCTAAAACAATATTAAATATCAAGCAAACTAAAGACTCAACTTACCACTTTGAAGTTTTGTATTGAAAGAATGAGATGATGTCGTTATACTTGAAAATGGTTGAAAAAGCCACTAGGGGGACATTCTGAGCATGTGATTGGTTATTCAAGAGGTGAGTGGGGCCACTGTGTTTGATTCAGTACATGAGCGATATCTCAGCAAATAGAAGAGATATGAGAGGTTTTTATTTTATACTCTAGCTTGTCAATATCAGTAATTTGAGTTTCTAATTCGTATGTAACTATAGACTTAGTATTTTGACATCACAAACATCTAATTTGAACCAGTACTGCATTCAACATACCACTTGACACACAAAAATCAATGTTTAACTGTTTTTTAATATTTACTTTTAAATTAAGAAATTAAATAATATATAATAATAGAATTTGAATTATAATCTACAATTTGATACCACACTTATTGACATAAATTCAAGAAATAGTATTTCAATAAAATTTTGAATGCGACTCAACAAATGTGATGACATGGTCTTCGACCCTTGACCCATCTGGAGAGGGTTAAGCCAGTTTGACTGAGCTCCATTTATAACAACATATGCTTTCTTCCATTATTCCATTTTTTATTCAGTGAGTCAACCCACTCTCACACCTAGATAGATTTTTCTAGCATGTCTTTTATGTGACACCTTGTCAAATGCTTTCTGAAAATCCAGATATACTAAACCCACACCTGTACCCTCATCTTCACAACCAATAACCTCATCAAAGAATGTCAAAATATTAGTAAAGCAAGATTTTCCCCTAGTCTTCCATGCTGACTATTCCACAAAAGTTTAAACTTTGTTAGATTAATTTGCAAAGTATATTTCATTAAATGTTCATAAACATTTCCCACCACTGATGTAAAACTGATAGACCTATAATTACTGAAACAATTTTTATCGACTCTATTATAAAGAGGAGTAACATAAACCAACTTTCAGTTTTCTTGCATCTGCCCACTATTCAAGGGCTTACAAATAATAGTAGCAAAACCTTTGGAGAAATAATATCTGGCCTAGAAGCTTGATCATTCTCTGAACTTCACAATTTGTAACTATATGTCAATTGTTTAGAATTATTTATGCCCATTGTTTATATTTTTATAACTTTTAGTGCTCAGTGCACTTGATTTCATGTAGATCTCACACGTAGTTTCTTAGTTGTTATGCATTATTTGTGATGTAAGTAAAGGCAGTTGTTTGACTCTTTAGTTGGTTCATCCATAACACAAGTTTGATATAATTGTTTCAGAGTACATCTTCTCTTGAAAGCAACTTAGAAGGTCTTGCTGGAGTGTTGGAGGCTGACCTACCAAGTTATAGATCAAAGATCTTGAGAATTCTCTCTGACTGGTAAGAGTTATTTCATTTGAAGCAAGGTTTCTAGTACTCATGTTTCCAAGATGATACCTCCCTCTACACACAAAATAAGTTGATTCCTCATGCAACTGACCTTGAGCTAACTCCCACCCAAAATCACATGTTAAATATGATCTGCACTAATGCATCTTCATGCGACAGTAGCCCTCCGCCTAAGGAAGGCAACACAACCTCCTTGCACAGTAACTCCCCATAAGTTTTTCTTTTCTTCAGCATTGCCTAGGGCAAACATGTTTTTAAAATTATTAATCAGTCATATGAGATTTGCAATAGTTTATGAAGTTTAAATTTTGTTTAAGTTTCACTGGTTTTTTATCACAAAAGAAAAAAAGAAAAATATGTTTTCATGCTTACCCATTATGAATTCTTAAGTGATGGTAACTTCTACTACAACCTGTGATAGTGATGATGCACCTAACATAGGACCTGTGTCTATTGTGGTCACTGGGAGTTCTATGTTTGTGGAGAACATGACAGCTATTGTTCAACAGAGCCCCCCCCCCCTCTTCCCAACCATTTGGCCAATGTTCCTTCTCTCCAGTTTGAACATGATTTCCACCACCAAGGTTAGCTCTAGGCACAGCTTTATCTGTTGAGGAAATTTCCTGCCCTATTGTGCTTTACTACATGAAACCCATACTTAAGACTACTTTTAATTTTCTTCTTCACCTGACATTAGGGTCCAGACAGACTCATTTCTTGATCAGCTGCACACCCATACTACCATGCTTTGTCCTTTTTGTGTACTTGATTCTTTTATCCTGGCTTACAGCTGTTTTTATTTCCATTCCTCAATTCATAGTCTTTGGAATCTCTTTCATCTGCCTGGGAGGGTGGACCCTTTAACTTCTATTTCCCTTTCTAGTGCCCACTTTTCATGCCTTTGTCTTTTTCTTACTGAAGTGACCTAGCATCAGTCCTCATTGTCTACTATGGTTTCTTGTCTTTTTCAATCTAGCTATTCTCTTCCTGTTCATAGGCTTGCTGAATCAAAATCTCCCCTACCCATCTCAGCTTCCTGGCCTTCTTCTACTTCTAATTCTATGGTGTAAAGATTGTCACTCGTCTTGGCAGTGACTACCCTGCTGGGTCTGGCCCTGTGGTGGCCCATCTCTCTCTCTCTCTTTGATAGCCTTTGGTCTCCATTTTAACCCGGTAGATGAGTTATTCAGATTCTCACCCACAACCTGTCTCTCCATTTCTATTCACTTCCTCTTATTTTCTGTTTCTTTTCCCCCTCTTTCTGTTCTCCCTTTATCCTCAGTGACTCAAAGAGTTAAGAACACTATTGAGAGGGTGTTTACTTCTACACCCGGTTATTATTCTCGTCTTTTTGTGGTCCTCAAAAAGACAGTGAACTGGTATCCAGTTATTGACCTGTTGTACCTCAACTGGTTTATTATCAACCATCAGTTCCACAAGAAGGGAGGGTTTCTCTTTTCTCCAGTGGTTTTTTCACCCAGACTGTTGATGACCAAGGTCACCATTTCAGACACGATTTTGCACAGCCCTGGTTTCCTCTGCTTCATTAGTTGGCATTGGTCTGCTCCATTCCCACTTTTTCTTGTCCCAACCACATCTATACCTCATCCAAGGGTGTTTTCCCTTCATCTTCACATGTAAGATTTGTCCAGTCCATCAACTGCAGGGCTGGACTCTGATCATATAGCCTATTTGTTATCTAATTCCTGTTGTCCTTCAACTCTGTCCATCTATCAACAGAAGCAAATTTTTCAGTGTTGATCCATCAGCATCTCCCTTCCTCTGAGCAATCTGACTGTGATCTTTTCAGTCTTTTCACGTGGTTGTTCAACCGTGGATTGCTAGGTTCCACTATTGCTGACTGTTGGGTTGCTTAATCATTTAAATTTTACCTTTTCTGTTACTGTCAAATGTTTCTTCTCTTGTCCTCTCCACTTTATTCTGACACTTCTTTCTTCACTGACCCCCCTCATCATTCCTATTTCTATGCCTGACTTAGGCTTTGACCATGTTTTACACACTCTTGCATGTGCTCCATTTGAGCCATTGGCTTCATATTCATTATACCTTCTTTCTCTGAAAACATGTTTTCTTCTTGCCTGTGGTGGCTATCTTTCAATGCTTCTTGCACTCTCTTTCATCGTACTTACTCCTCTATACAAATAGAGATAGACTGGATAAACCAGGCCTTTCTTCCTAAAACTTTGGCTGCTCAGAAAGATGATCCATCTTTCATATTTCTTAGCATCAGATTCATCAGCTGCCACACTCTCTTGTGTCTCATTTTTTATCGACCCTTGCATGATATCCCTAAAGCTGGAATGTGGAATGAATCTGCACACATTTGTCTCCAATTATATTCATCATCTGGCTGTTTTGTCTTCTTTGGAATTCAAACCCCATCCAGTCACTGTTCTTCAATAAAACTACAACAATTTTTAAGAATATTAAATATATTTTCTTTTTCATCACCCTTTTCCCTTTTATAGGTTTCTGTCAGGTGGTTGGTGTTGCCTCCCAGCTTATGCTTATTTTCCAAAATCCACATCTGGCCAGGGATAACAGAAAGCACTCAACCTATCTACCCTGGCTCTACCAGTGCTCACTGTGGAGATGGAATTTTCTGCAAGACCACTAGAAATATCCTTATGATATTAAAATTATTCAGTTGCCCAATCCAGGCACTTCTTTGGTCAACCCAACGTGAATTCTTTTCCCCTTCTTCAAGTGGAACATGGGAGACTCTTGCCACTTACCAGATCCTAACCACTGGGGTGGTGGACCTAGGAGAGTTCCTAACTAAGTGTATACTACAATGCAGTGGGAATTAGGGTGGTGTTGGCACTGTCTGTGTAGTGCAAGTTAACCCTTGAGTAGCTAGTGTCACCCCTGTCTGTGTCTGTCCAGTTGAGTCGAAGTGAGACATTACACTTCCTGGCTCTTCAACCACTTCTTTGTAGGTGCTCACTTGTTCATGGTAAAATTCCATTCATTCCTGCAACATTTGGGTCTTTTATTGCTATTCCCTCTCTTTCCTTCTGAGTAAAAAGTATACCCTGGTTGAGATAAGATGTGGTCTCTCATAGATGTGCTCCTATGGAGCCCTTATCATTGAGTGTCACACTCCATGGGCTTTTCCATCAGACACTTTCTCAGTACAGTTCATCTAGTTTTAATGTTTGCACCAGCCTCTTTACCATTTCATTGAGGGATTCTAGCTATTCTGTGTGAGGAAGTATTGTCTCAGAATTTAAAAATTTTCTTACCTGAAAATGTATTTCTGATAGATACTGACCTCCGCACATCTTCCAACCTGTCCTTCTGTCCAGAGAGCTTTCTTTATGCTTCATCTGGAATGAAGTTCTTTCGAGTGCAAGTGCCTTAGGGAGAGTTACTGCACATGGAGGTTTTGTTACCCTCTTATTAATAGAGGGCTATTGTTGCAAAAGGATGCCATCATACACAAGTTCATGTTAAACGTGATTTTTATTTTGAAGTTAGCTTAAGTAAGGCTAGTGGCATGTGAATCTCATGGGCAGATGCTTGAGGGATCGAACTATTCTGTGTGTATGGAGATGAGTATCTATCAAAAATGCATTTTCAGGTATGGAAAATGTTAACTTTTGATTAAGTGGATGAACAATAATAATAATAAAATATGTGAATGCTCAAATTCTGCATAAAGATGATTAGTCTTGAAATTTCTCTACTGCTCAGAGCTTAATTCGTTGGTTTTTTGAGATTCTAGTGCTTTTCAGTATTAAAAAAAATGTGACCTTACTTCACTTGACATCACATTGTCTACATACAGCTTAAAACTTAGGCAGAAATCTTTGAAGTTATAAAGGGGGTTGAGTATGGTATAATAGAACAATTTTGAATATGTAAATCAGAAAGTCATGTAGCAGCCACAGCCATTATATAGTTATGGTGAAAGGGAATGTATCAGATTACTTTTTGACATTTTTGGTGTTTCTTAAGTAGTGTGGTGTCACCAAAAATTGATCAGTTTTGGGAAAGGTGTGTAACAGGCCTTGTCAACACAAAAAATTCATACACTTAGATCATGAAGATGGTTCAGATTGGTATTTTAAAATTTCAAAGTCTGGGATATCTCTATTTACTTAATGTCATTGAAAAATAAAGATGTACAGATCAGTTTGAGAGACCAAGACAATTCAGAAAGAGATCTATAACAAGTCGTATCCCAGTCATGGTAAGCATCTTTTAACATGTGAGAATCCTTGAACGTAGAGGCCAGTGGCATCAGTGTACAACATAATCAAGAAGGCTCTCCATCTGGAAGAGTGATAACAGCTGTTTACATAACATATCTTTACAACCATTGGGTATCTCAAGCACCTGGAGTATCGAATAATTATTCATGCTATTCCAGAGAAGAATATGTCAGTTGCTAGATGCAGCGTCAATGGATTTCTGTTTGATCGGACTGTTGAAAGGGCTCTGGGAAACTGTCATCCTCAAACGTACATGAATTATGGTAAGTAGCAGGGAGAAGTGTACTTTGGACATGAAAGCCTTACAACTGAGCAGCTTCAATTGGAAACTACACTTCAGGACTATTGTCAAGATGTATGGTCATCAGATAGAGCAGGACTGGATGTGGCAACATGCACTGTAACAAAGTGGTGAAGGTTCAAAATTGTTTTACTCAATCTCTGCAACCAGAAATTCCTATGTGTTGCAAATAATCTTCAGCATGCATTTTAATATGGTAGAAATTATTTTGGTTCTCTGAAATTAATATTCTTATATGCATTGGAGTGCTTAAAATGTAGGAAACTACTCATCTTCTGAAAGAGAATTGTCATTCCAAAACATACATACCTCCTCTGACACTAATAGCTATTTCTCGATCTTCATCTTTGTCATCTAACATTGTGTTCGCTTGCTCCAGTCTTTATATACTGCCCTCAGCAATATGTAATTTGCCAAACTTTATGCTGGCCCTCACATGCCCTCTATGCAGGTACTGTATATGAGCACTGTATGTAGACAATAAAATCACCTTTTCTCGACAAAGTGCAGCATTCAGATTAACGTTTTGTGATTTACATTTTCTTAGTTTTCACATCTAATAATTTGAAATTATTTGTTTTGTTATCCAGATATATTTTGTTGAAGCTGTCCGTAACCTGATTTGGGGTGAGATTGAGTCCTTCATGCGGCCCAGGGGTATCTCTCCAGGAGGTGCTGATTTGAATTTTCATTCTGAAATGGGATATTCTGGGGAGAAGTTAAACTCTGTTTCCTTCTCCTTCTTTCACTAATGCTTCCTCTCCTGAATACTCATCCGATCAGCCACCTTCTGCCCCTTTTTTCTGCAGTTAGTTACACATGTTTGTGAAATTTTGGAGATGTAACCAATTGCTTTTGAGTCTACCCTGCTTTGTTGTCCAATCATTCTCATGAGAACTACTTAGTTTTCTTTCCTTCTTCTGATATTGCTGTGCATGCAGGGTTTGCAACACAATTACGTTTAACTTAACAACATGCCCTGGCATATCGTCGTCAGCATGATATATCTTTGGACACTCAAAGGTTGGATCCATTGTTGGATCTATGGGGTGCCAGGTACAAACCTGTTATCTCTCTTAACAGGTAACAATTTTCATGGATTCGTTTGACTCTTACTACTGTTTTAAGATACTTCTCTTCCCTTCAAGTTTTCTATGAAGCATATCACCAATCGCCTCAACAATTTGACGACAAACTGGGCCATTTTATGGTCACTATTATGACACATTTGTCCTTTTCAGGACTTGCCTTGTTGAGTCGTGATGCATTTTTGGAGGGTATTCACTTACCTTCTTCTGCTCTTTGAGATTTACGGGAAGCACCTTTTCTCTGGCCCAATTTATTTGCTGAAATTTCAGAATCTTTAGAAGCCAGAGGTGATACAGCACATTTGCAGTCTTCTTTATCGTCTTTGGCTGCTTGACCCTATTCTACTTCCAATTGTACTTCTGCATGTTCATCCCCTTGTGTCTCCCGACATGTTCATATCTAATTACCTTCATGAACTGGCAGTTTTCTCTTTGAGGGGACTTTGTCTTCCCCCTGCGGCTGTGTTGACTACCTCTACTAGATTTTAACAGGGTGGTAGGTCATGTGTTATTTGATTTAAGTTATTGTTCCTTTCTCTTCTAAGGTCCCTATTGATTTTTTTTTGGATCCCACTCAGTGGCGAGTGTTTCTCAGTCGGATATGCTTGTATGTAAATTCTGTACTAACAACCTTGATATCGGTTCCTGATTGCAATGGGCTCTGTCGAGATGAGGTATTCCATAAGACCATCTGGATGCAATTCTGGATGGTGATATCGTATTACAATATTTCTAATGGACCACTACTCATGGACTATCATGAGTAAAGCTAAAGGGGATTTTGCCAGTCCCTGCTGATCTTAGAGCTGAATCAGTTAAGATCAGTTTGCATTTAAAAATCATGTTCCTGTTCCTCAGGTCTCCCCAATGCTTATGTTCCCCCCTTACTTCTACTAGTTCCCAGTCACTGGGGTGGTGGACAGAGGATTTACCTTTGGAGTGTGGTGTTTTCTCTACTCTCAGAGAAGAGGGCAAAGTTGGAGCCCTCTCCTACTTGGGTCCATGGAAGTTTTTTTCCCAGTTGTTGGTAGGAGCGGGACCAACCTACACAGAAGTCTACTTGTAAAACCAGTACAGATTTGAGCTTAGCTGCATAGTGGTGGGTGCTTGAACCCTGTTATGAACACTGTCAGATCTTGTTGTTCATGTAGGGGGCCCACTATCTCCTCATAAATCCGAACGCGAAGCAGCCCCATCTTTGGTCCTTGGTGGGACAGTGTTCCACATTCTCTCCTTAATTCCATGGGTAAGTGGAATTCTCCTTGCTCACTTGGTGGGGGAGTAAAGACAACTGTTTGTAAATCCAGACTGGATAAGTTCTGGACTTTGGTGGAGTATGGCATATGATCCCGTCAATTCAGACCTGAGATGTTACCATTTGGACTTCTTCAGGTTGATCAGAAGGATTGTCCATTTTTGGTGTTGCTTTCTGTCAGATTTAAAAAAATAATATTATATAAAGTTCTTCTTTTTGCCAATTGTCGAAATAAATGGCTTTTACTTGTATTTCTTAATAGTATAAATATATACTATGTTATTGTTGGACTTAGGATTCTTTTACAGTAGGTGCCTGTGACTTGTTATTGATAAATATAATGATGAATAGAGGGCGTGTGAGGGCTGTTGTAAAGTTTTGCAAATTATATATTGCCGAGGGCAGTCGAGTAGGGTATGTAAAGACTGGAGCAAGCACAAACACAATGCTAGATGGCAAAGATGAAGTTCGAGAAATAGCTATTAGTGTCAGCAGAGGTAAGTATGCTTAGAAATACATTTTGAGTTTAGGAAAATGATAACTTACTCGCATATTTTTTTAAAAATAGAATGTTATATGTTTTGTGCATACCAAAGTCTCAAAATGTACTGTACATTAACATATTAGAGTCTGTTAACCTGACGTACCTGTTGTTGAAATAGAACTTTTTTTTTCACAGTGTTACCAGAATGCCAGAGAAGACAACAATCTATACAACACTAGTGGGCTTATTAAATGCTCGTAATTACAACTTTGGTGGTGAAGTAAGTATTTTGTTTTGATATAATAAGGAAAGATACATTTCTTGTTTCACAACTTTTTTATGTATAGTGAAATCAATTTAATGAGTAGGTGTTTAGTCTTTATCTTGTTCATTTTCTCTTCTTTTCTTGGTGTAAATGTTAATGAAGTTTTCTTAAAAAGAAGATTCAGATGATTTGTTAATTAAATGAAATATTTATAAACATTTACTTCAAGTTCCATGAATAAATCTGTGGAGCTGATTAGGGATGTAAATTGATAGTATGACCACAATAATAATACCTTACATTATTACAAGAAGTATTGTCACTTGACAGTATTATCACTTTTAATTTTTAAAGCACAATTAGCTGCAAACCATCCAATAAATGTTACGTAGTTAAGATAGGTTAAATTAATTTATTAAAATACTTGTATATGACATAACACACACTAGACCGATAGTCAATACATAGCATTAATACAGTATTCAATTGTCATCATAAAATATTTTTGGCATTGTGATGCTCTCTAAAAAGAGAAACTTGAAATGCTTTTGTAAGTAGTTTGCACTGCTCTTACCATATATTACAAAACTTTTTATAATATTTCTGTGGTTCAATATAGGACTAAGGAATGGTCTGGCATCTTCTAGAATTTCTTTGTGTTCTGCTTTTATTTTGATTTTTGTTTGGTGGTTTTAAGATCAATCAAATTGACCAACCTTGTATAGAGTTAGGATAGAAAAAATAACAGATAAAATATAAAATTTTACTGAAAACAAACATTTGAATTGTATTTAGGAGATTTTAGAGATTACTCAAATAATATTTGAGATTTTTGAGATGAAGAAAAGTATCTTTAATCTTAACATGAAAATCGCTTTGAACACGGACTATTCAAAACAAATACTCAATATATTCATGGACAAATCTTTTTTTTTGTTTATTAAAAATACTTCACAAAGTAATATGATTTTTTTGTATATGAGAGACTTGTAATATTTACTGTTTCAAATTTTACAAATTTTGTGAAGACATACACATTATATTAAAAGTTAGTAGTATCAAATCTATAAAGTATTTAAACAGTACAAAGAGGTCACGTGGTCGGTCCAATCGACCAAGCCCGTATTGAGAGAGTTAAAGAAGTTAATTGTGATGTAAAATTGAAAAAGGCAAAAGCACTGACACTTAGCTTTAAGTATGATGATTGGAGTAACCTACAAATTGAACTAATTGTGATTATTAACAGTATACCAAACCAGTTGTTTACAAACCATCACCACAACTACAGACAAATATGGGTAAGCATGTGGCTAATAGAATATCTAAAGTTGTGGAACAACGTGGTATTGCAAGGTTCCTTGATGTAACAGGCAAAACCACCTTTAAGAAGAAGAATACTTAGAGAAATATTTTGATCACCTCATAACATTTTACTGTTTTATCATTTACACCTTGAACCTTCTTATAGGGAAAATTATGAAGCTAAAGACATGCTCCATGTTTTGAGACATAATGAAATGATATTGTAAAAAGCATCCAATGTTGAGAGAAGGTCAATTATGGACACCAACATACCTGAAGATGGGTTAAAATTACCTAAGATATTTTTGCCCATTGACTTGATTTCTTCCAGGGAATTTAGAACTTTCAAGCTGTTGGAGTTGTAATCAACCTTCTTTCATCATGAAAATACATCCTAAATCATCTGTTAAACACTGACCATTGTTCTTATCTTCTGAACACATTGTTCACTGGCATTCAGAGAAAAAAAAGAGGACTGAGTGTTTCTGCAAAAATATCATTGAAATCGTATAGGTCTCCATTGGGTTTTGTCCTACAATGTTTGTTCTAATAAAGAAGAAACTGTGTTTATTTTGAATAGAACAGTCTAGACCCATTGGAAAATGAAATTTGAATGAGGGTCAAGAAAATGGTCCAGTCTTTAGAACTTATCACAAGTAGAACATCATTCTCAATCATATACCCTTATAATGTGTCTTGTTGTATTAGTTTTTAACCTTCAGAAAAGCAGATCCTTAATGCTCTAAACAAATGTAAGGACCTTGTACTTCACTCATTTCACATGGCTGCAAACATTCCATGAAATATTCTTTCCCTGGTAGAGGATTTTGATAGAGCATTCCACATGTGAAAGGTCACATAAGATATGCCTGAGATAGAAGTACTGTTTGACTTGTCTTACAGCAGAACCAAGGAAGATCTAAGGCCAAACTTCTTGTGTGGAAGTACCTGGAAAATTGTAGTGAAACTTAAAACAAATTTTCCATCTGATTTGGTCAGAAAAATGTATTTGTGTCTTTCTCTATAGTGTGCAACTACTGATTGATCTTTCAGTATTTAAAAGTTTATGTACTCTTAAAAAGTGCAACGTGTTTCCATCCTAAAGAATACATCATACAATCTAAAAATTTTGGCTATAGGAACTTGTACTGGTGGCCCAACCTACAATGGGTTGAATATGTATATGAAAACAATTTTGAATGTGCAAATCAACAAGGCATGTGACAACCATAGACAATATATAATCATGGTGTGATAGCATATATGAGAACTGCATTTTGAAATTGTTTTCCATTTCGTAGTTAGTGTGATGCTACCGAAAATTTCAAAACAGATATTTATTGTAATTAATGACAGTGGAAAATAATGTAATATTGAGCAATTTGGGATGCCAGGTCTACACAGAAAGAGACCTGCAACAAGTCATATTCCAGCTGTGGTAAGCAAAATGTAGCATTGTAACAGCTGAGAATACTTGAACACAAAAGTTATCTACACATCTCTGACAACAGTATACAAAATAGTCAAGAAGGATCTTGTTTGGAAAAGGGAAACAAGTCACATGTACAGAAGCTGCTTTCATGACATACACATTCAACTGTCACATACCTCAAACAGCTTGAGAATGAAATGGGTATTCATGCTATTCCAGCACCTATGGAGTTTTGTCTATTTGGACTGTTGAAATAGGTGCTAGAAACCTGTTATCCTCATACACAATATGGATTGTGGAAAGCATGTAGGGAAGAGGAAGTGTGCTCTGAGCATGACAGCCTTACAATAAAGCCTTTTGCAGTTGAAACTACACTTTAGAACTATTGTAAAAATGCACTGTCATCATGGTCTGTAAATATATGGTGAGGATCCAGAAGCATTTTAATATAACAAACTCCACTTCTGTATATGCAGGAATGTTTCACTTTGACTGATCAACTTTGAAGTGGGTATGAATTCTCTGTAGAGTCTTGGTATTTTGATGAGATTACTACATTTACAGAAGAAGAAGATGAGGAGGTGATTGAAAATGAAAAAACATAGAGGAACAGAATGTAGAAAGAAAAAAGCTATGAAACAAAACAATTGAATTTAAATTTGTATTCTCAGAAATAGCTTTTTAAGTCTGAAGAATCAGGATATTTTGGTGAGATTACTGCATTTATGGAAGAGGAAGAAGAGCAAGTGATTGAAAATGAGATCAATAAAATGTAGAAAAAATGATTAGAATTTGATTTGTGTTCTCAGAAAGCAAGGTTGATATAAAAAAATTTGTTTGACAAAGTTCAAATTTGTAGTTAGTTTTTATCTCATTTGAGTAGAAAATTGCAATTAGTTCCTTCAGTTAACACACTTATATTAAATAGGTGAAAAAAGGAAGTGCAAAGGATTAGTTTGTAAATATTTCTTATGTTTAATTTTTCAAGTTACATACGTTATTAAGGGCCTGGCATGACTTGATGGTTAAGGCATTTGACTTGCAATATGAGGGTTATGGGTTTGAATCCCTGTCGTCGAATACATGTTCACCCCTTTTGGCTGTGGGAGTGTTATAATGTGATGGCCAATCCCACTATTTATTGGTAAAACAGTATCCCAAGAGCTGACAGTGAGTGATGTTGTCTAGCTGCTTTCCCTTTAATCTATCACTTCCAATTAGGGATGGTTAGTGTAGATAGAACTTGTGTAACTTTGTCAGAAATTCAAAACAAATAAACCCAAACCTTGCAGATCTTACATTACTTGTGTTAACAAAAGTTAGGTATGTGAAAACAAGCCACGTATTACTACCTTTTTGAAATGTGTTACAATGAAAATGTCACAAGAACCACTATTTTCTTGAATGATCCTAGTTTCCACCATTATGAAAATACTTCTGAGTTTGGATGGTTAACATTGACACTTCCAAATTCCATTTTTTTATAATCTAATGTAAAAATGTCTATTGCAATATCCCATGTGAGGTATCTGATGATCCAGTGTAGCTCTTTGTGCCTCCACTTGTATATATAGTTACAAAATTATAGACTTACATATTATTGTGTGGCTAATGAAATAACTACAAGAAGGTCAACATGGCAAAGCATGAGTCACTGAACCCAGGTGACTGAAAGAATCTGAGTATCATTCAGTTTTTACACTGGCATTAATTAACAAATAGAACTAATTTTACTGTGTCACGTGTAGAGCTGAGCAATTAGTGGAAATTGCTAATAAATTAATCATTGAGCTCATTAATTAATGGCATTCAATTAATCAGTTAATTTTACATGAGGCTAATCTTCCCCTTTTCAGCTTGTTATGGGTTGATGTTTTTTTCTTTAAAACATTTTCGAACCACACTTCATTTAATATAATAGGCATCTTCAGGCACAACAACTTAGAAATGAATTAATTTTTGAAATATTAAACTGTTGGACATGAAAATGTATTATATATACAAAACCTATTAAAAGTTGTAAACGTTATTGATACTGTTCCGTGGGTTTCTCCATACAAATTTTCCTGAGAATACTAAAATTAAATATACTAAATCTTGGTTAAAAATAATTGGTTTAAGATTTCATGTGATAAAACTAATAAACATTCTTCTACATTGTGTGACAGATAATATGAATTCAATGAAAATAAATTTATTCCAGTCCTAGAAAAATGAAGACAGTACATTTATTGTTCAGCAAGAAAACTTTTGATGATACTAGATGACCTCTTTGAAAACACTTGTAATTTTAGATATTTCAGAATGATTTTTCTAATTCCATTATCAATGTGAAAAACTTAATAGTTAACTTTATAAGTATAAAAAGCATAAACTTTTAAGCAAGAAATTATTGACAGGATTTGAAGATAGCTTTTATATACGCAAACATCTGTTACCTGAGTTCTTGCACAGATCTTAAAATATAACGTTCATAAACGGAAACATC